ACGGGGCTTCACTGCTCATCACAAGGTCTTCCAGGGACGCACCGGATGGGGCTTCACTGCTCTTCACGAGGTTTTCAGTGGCCAGTGTTTTCAGAAGTGGATGGCCCCATCCTTCTTCCCAGTCTGTCTTAGTCTGGAAGCTTCACCGATACCTGTTCACCATGGGTGACCCTGCTGGTACGTGAAATACCAGTGGCATAACTTCCAGTCTCACAGTAACACCCAAGCCGCCACAGTAGAACAAACTGACAGCTGAGTGGTGGAAAGAATCTCTAAAACCTTGGAATTTCTAATGGTTAAGTGTCCTTGATGAGGACTCGAGACAGGGCAGGTTGTGCCGAGAGGCAATCCTGGGCTGGGGGTCTGACCCGGCCAGAGGGACCTAGGTCATGAGGATGATCTCATGGTGGCCAGAGAGCCCCACCTCATGATCCCTCACGACACCGACTGGCCCAAGGGAAGGGGCTGGAGCTTGTGTTACAGAAGCAGATCCCCATAAAAGCTCTGGACGTGGAAAGCTCCATGGGTTTCCCGGTTGGGGAGAGCCATGATGCCCATGGAGGGCCAGGGGGTCCCTTTCTGGGACACAGAAGCTCCAGACCTCGCCCTGAGTGTCTCTTCAATTTGTATTCTTTCTGCTGTAATGAAGCTATGAGTCATCCTGCTGAGTTACTGAACCAGAAGGAGTAGTGGGAGCCAGCAGAGGTCAGGAGTGAGGGGAGCTGGGAGCCCCTAGGCTTACAGCTAGTATCCTGAGGGGGTAGAGGGAACCCAAGTGAGGGGACATCTGGCATCTGCAGTCTTGAGTCGACTTGACAGTCTGAAGGACTGTGTCCTTTCAACTCGTGAGCTCTGGCCTTGCTCAGGGTGGACGGGTCAAAGGAAGACGTGCTAACTGGACAGCTGGTGTTAGAGCCGAGCAGAGAAGTGGAAAGTGGGGATCTGTTATCTCCTCCGAGTTGGTGGCAGGGAACAGGAACAGGTGGGGTTTTGATTTATCCATTCATTCCCCAACCCATGATTCCACTTAGACCCAGAGGTCCCGAGAGTAAGATGGAAAGCAACACGAGGCGCCCTAGTGATCCCTGTCGACCAAGCACCCTAGTATCTGTACCACTGGGTCCTCACTGATGCTGTTAGCTAGGCCAGGCAGGAAGAACCATTCCCGTTTTTTAGGCAAAGAAACCGAGGTTCAAAGAAACTGAGTAACTTACCCACGAGGCAGAACTGGGACTCAGTGGTCTCGCGACGTCAATGGTCTGCCCACGACCGCACTGGCTTTGCTGAGTGCAGGAAGAGAGAGCTGGGCCCCGTCTGTGTTCCTGAGCCCAGAGAGGGGCGCTGCCCTGACAACAGCCCGCTCAACTCACCTGCAGCTTCACGGCGATGACCACTGAGTTAAGGTCCTTGTCCATTTCCTTGAGCATGACGAGTTTCTTCAGAGTCAAACTGAACAGCCTAGGACAGTCCACAGAGAGAGTATTTGTCAAGCGTAAGAAGCTTCAGAGAAAAGCGACAGACAATGTGTAGGATCGGCTAAAATAAGACCCTGTTAGGATGACGTCCTCAGGCCCAACGCAGCCTCCTTCCAGAACAGCCTCCCTCTCATTCAACCAGTGCCCTCGCTTAGTGTCACAGGGCACCTTACTCCACGAACGTCTTTGAATGCCCGTTTATCTCAAGTCAAAACCGACATTCTCCTTCACGCCTCATACGGGAGCAGTTTCTGAGGGGAGGGAGGGAGGGCGTGGAGGTTCACTCCGCTGACCGGCTGCCCTCCCGCCTGACAGCCCATCAGTGGCATCGGAAACGCTGATGGCTGTCAGTCTTTAGGAACACAGAGATCATCCACACAAAGAAAGAGACCACAAAACAGGAAATGATTGGAGGGCCACAAATTCAAGTTCAGCCGAGTACTCCTCCACGAATGCAGAAGAGTCTTCGGTGTCACACTCAGGAAATCCTTCCCTCAAACCAATAGGACTGACCCTAACCCTGGAGTCTCAGCAGCCCTAATCTGTCTCTGTCTTGGTTCCTGGTCTTCCCACGGCAGTGGCAGCGTCACTGTGGCCGGAGGGCCCCGCCTTCCAGGAGGAGTCGGGAAGGAACCCGACTTTCTGCTTCTGGGTGGAGCAGCTGAAGTCTTTCAAACATTCCTCTCCTTGGAGAGGCTCTGAGAACGGTGAGACAGGAGTGGTGTGGCTGCCCAGTCACAACGAGCCCCGAGAATCATGCTCCGAGGTTTCAGCTTCTTGCCTCCTCGGGGCCACAGCTCTCCAGCCCCCGCTTACCACCTCCGTTTCTCCCACCCTCCTTCTACTCTAAGCTCCAGCCACATGGATTTCTGTAGGCCTGCACCTTTCTCCCCTCCGAGCCTTCCTATGCTGGCGTTTCTCCTGCTAACAATGCCATCTCACTGGTCTGCTAGCTCCTGCCTGCACAGCCTTACCTTGGGCAATACGTGTTTGCCAGGAACACTTCCTGAACACCTGCCAGAGTCTGTGTCAGGTCCCCCCCCCCCAACTCAGTTGAAGGGCGTAAGAGTAAAAATCAAGGTTTCCCAGAGAAAACACAAATCTGCAGCATCAATCCCCTCTGAGTTTCCAGCCTGCCGGCCTGTACTACAGAATTTGGACTTCTCAGCCCCGACAACTACATGAGCCAATTTCGTAAAATAAATCTCCTGGTGGCACTCGGCTGCTAACTGGAGGGTCGGTGGCTGGAACTCACCAAGTGGCTCTCTAGGCGGAAGCCCTGGAGATGTGCCTCTGTCGAGACGACAGCCTAGAAAAGCCTGTGGGCAGCTCCACTCTGTCACACGGGCGCACGAGGAGCTGGAATCAACCTGATGGCACCTCTAACAACAATCTATCCACAGACATATTACACAAACACATACGAAGATAAATACACACACACACACACACACACACATCCATCTACTCATCCAGCTTCTGTTGGTTCTCCTTCTCTGAACAACCCTGATGGATACAGGGAGCCTGGAGGGTCAGAGTCACAGAAGGAGATGTGACAATAAAGGCAGAGGTTGAAGTGATGTGACTGCTGCTGCCTTGGAAGACAGAGGAAGGGGCCACCAGCCAAGGATCCAGCCACTGGCATCTGGAAGGGGCAAGGACGTGGAGTCTCCCCGTGAGGCGCAGAAGAAACACCATCCTGCCAACACCTTGGTTTGAGCCCAGTGAGACTGTTTCCAACTTCTGACTTCCAGACCGTAAGATGACAAAGCTGTGTAGTTTTAAGCCGCCAAGTTGGTCCCTTGTTACAGCAGTGATAGGACACTAACTTACAGGCAGTCCCCGGGTTTCAGATGTTTGACTTACAGACGACGCCTACCTGCCCTTTAATGTTACGTAAATTTGCTGTCACTCTGAACCAACTCCTACTTGCAACAAATTCTTCATCACAATCACTTTCACTTGCTGCAAGTGCAGCTTTTAAAGCACTGAAAAGGCTTCAGGCCTAAGAACCGTAAGCACCTGTTCTGACCTACCCACAAATCCTTAAAGACTGTTAGGAATGGGTCTCACTGCTATCTGGGGCCTGCCTGTACTTAGTCCAGAACCTGGGCTCTGATTACCCTGCTGCGCTCTCACTACTGACCTGAACCCCTTTACCCTAACCCTAACTCTCCTCAAGGTTGTTAAACTACAATCTAGAACCGCGGGGCTGGCGTCCCCCCCTCGGAAATCTCCCCATCTGTGTGGCTCCCGCACGGCACCTTCGTTTCCTCCCTCCAGAGCCGAGACATGCCGGCCCCAGAGGAACCCAGGTGCTGATGACACTCCAGGGGTAGTCTCATTCCTCACAGCTGGCTGTTAAGAAATGAAGGTAATTGTTCAACGTGGATGCGCACGTCTTGGTGGGGAGGAGAGGGCACGTGGCAGGGTGAACAAACGGGAGAGACTAGACGTGCCCAATCTCCCTCCTCACCAGAGGCTGCTCCTTAGGGATGCTCTGGGGCGTTAGGGTTTTGTTTCCAGAACAAACAGTGCCCATCTCCAGACTGAGCTGCTGATGAATAAACTCGGGCAAGATCTGAGTTTCACTGGAGTAGACTGGGGCACCTGTGCTTCTCTGCGTGTGACGCTTCACTCGCCCCCAGCCACCGCCCCCCCAACACCATGTTCAGTAGTGAGCAACTACTCTGGGCCAGCTGTATTATTGCTGGAGGACGAGGAGAAGGACATGGTCCTTAGCCCGTGAAGTTTACAGTCCAGTGAGGGAGACAATTACTTATGTTACCGCCTTATGTCCCATAATGCTCCAGACCGTCTTCCTGACATACATGAAATGTTGTGTGGAAATATGGTAGAAGGACAAACACATCACAGACCAACAAATGCCTGCTGACTGAATACACAAACCTTTACGCCACTGCACCTACCTCAGGTAATAAAGCAATCGAAAGGCTGGGACATGTTCAGTGTTCGCTTAGAAACTCAACACACCACAGTGGTTCCAATACCTCAGCAATCAGTTCAACAGGGTTTTTGTTTGTTTGTTTTCAGTGTAACCCAAGGGACTTAAGAAATGTATTCTGCTTCTTCAAAGAATGCTGAGAAGGGTTAAGGATCTTGCCTAAAGCCACACAGAGAGTAGACAAGCCAAGATACAAACTTAGGTCTTAGTCCGTAATCCAAATCAAATCAGTACAAAGCACTTTAGAAACTGAAGGGAGTTTACTTAACTACAGATTACTATTTCTAACATATAAATTAAAATAATAGAAAAATGCCAAGGAGATAATCAGATTTACTTCTCCTTAGGCCACACCCGCCCTCAGCTGAGACAGCCTGCAGTATGCGCCTGAGGAGGACTGAGGCCCTCTGAGCCCGGAAAGGATCCAGCTGAAGGTGCCGTATTGGTTCCCTAGAGCTGCTCTAACGGAAATACCACAAGTGGATGGTTTAACAGGAAGAAATTTCTCATATTTTAGGAGGTTTGATGTCCATCAAGAGGCAGAACTGAAGGCCACGGTCACCCAGGCCCTAGAGCTGGCACTCTGAGCTCAGCCCACCAGCCTCCTGAACCGTAAGAGAATAAATTCTTGTTTGTTAAAGCCACCCATTTGTGGTATTTCTGTCAGAGCAACACTGGAGAACCAAGACAGGGTCAAACCAGAATGAACCAGTTAGGAGCCCTGTTTTGTATCCTTTTGCTGAAATAAATCATATCTGTGCACATATGCTGACTCCCGTGAGTCCTCCTAGTGATGATCAAACCTGGGAGTGATCTTGGGGACCCCCAACACAGGAGAGACATGGAGAGGCGGAAGAGGGATTACAAAAGGGCACTTTTGGGGTCATGGGTATATTCATTATCCTAACCATGGTGATGGTTTCATAGGCCTCTGTCTACATCAAAACTAACATAACTGTATACTTTAAATATGAGCAGTTTGTTCAAATTCTTATTGAAAATCAGTCTTAATGGATACACTGAGACTGGGGGACCCCTGAATCTATTGCCTGGAAGACAACTTTTAAACCCTGAACCAAAACTATCCCAAGAAATCATCTTTAAGCCTAACAACAGTTGAGCTCAATAAATAATGTTTGAGCATGATGTCCTTTTAAAGAATCACCCACTTGAGATCAAAACAGCAGCAATGGCAAAGCACAGATGGGAACTTCACGGGGAGAGCCTAAGTTTATGGTGAAACAACATGGGCAGAGAGTGAGAGGAGTGATGCAACGTAAATGTCTACGTCAACGAGTTGTGCGCGTAACAATTGTTGAACGCCTGTCTGCTTGGTTGTGTACATTTTGACCTAAAATATGTATTATTTATATACATAAAGGAGCTCTGGTGGTGTAGTGCCTAAGGCTTCTGACTGAAACCAGAAGGTTGGTGGTTCAAACCCATCAGCCACTCCTTGGAAGGCAGACTGGACAATCTACTTCTGTACAGATTTAATGCCTCGGAAACCCAAAGGGGTTTACTATGAGTTGAAATCGACTTGATGGCAGTGAGTTTGGTTATATGAAAAATCAAATTCACTGCCATGGAGTCGATTTCAACTCATAGTGACCCCCTTCATATGTGCCATTTGTTGTTAGGTGCTGGTGAGTCATCTCTGACTCACAGTGACCCTACGTACAGGAGACCAGAACACTGCCTGGTCCTGTGCCAGCTCCACGACCCTCGTTACACCTGAGCTACTATGTCAGTCCATCTTGTTGAGGGTCTTCCCTTCTTTTGGTGACTCTCCACTTTACCAAGCATGATATCCTTCTCCAGGGAATGGTCCCTTCTTACAAGATGACCAAAATAAGTGAGACAAAATCTGGCCATTCTTGCTTCCAAGGAACATTTCAGCTGCACTTCTTCCAGGACAGGTTTGTTAGTTCTTTTAGCGGTCCGTGGCACTTTCCGCATTCTTCGCCAACACCACAACTCAGAAGCATTGACTTTTCTTGGGTCTTCCTTATTCACTC